CCCTAAGTGTGACATGTCTCAGTGCGGCCCAGAATAGTGTGAGGAATGCAAGCCCAGGAAATGTAATAAAGGGCTCCTGATGTGAGAGAACAGGCTGGCTCAAGGTAGCACAAACAGACAACTATGCATGAAGGAACACATTCAAACCGCTCTGAGGGACCTCAGCCTACAGTATTTCAGACGCTGGTCTGTTGGGTCATCCACTGCAAAAGAAGTCAAATTCAACACTTTGTCCTTCATGAGCAGTTGATTTTGATTTGGACACATAAAGATTTAATATTTGTTTCTTCCAAAATGTTCCTTTCAAGTGTCGTACTGCATTTTAGACCTTTTAAATATGCTGAATAATATAATCCCCTCTTCATTTTTAACACAAGTATGTGCGTGGCCAAATGAACCTTTTTTTCCCTTGACAAGTGGCTTTCAATTCAAAATAGCTAGTTAATTGAAGGCTATTAACCTTTATCTCCTCTTACGAAGTTAACATCCTCTCTAATGAGGGACATCAAGTAGAAATGAATCATTTTTCAGACTTTATTAAGCTTTGTATCAGATACATTTAGGGATGCACCGAATGTTCGGCAACCGAAATTATAAGCGAAAGAATAAGTGAAAAGACCGAATAAATTGTACTGAACAATGATATGACGCGATCAAATAGCAACCAGCGAAGAGTGAGAGGCGCACTCTTTATAATGTAGCACACATGTCAGCAGTGTGGAAGCATTTAAAACTGTCAGAGAAAGACACAAAAATCATTACAAGCACCGACAGCGAGAGACTGTTTAGTACTGTATCGCATGTCTTCGTTGAGAAGTGGAAGGGGTGATTGTTGCAGGTTACTGTATGATGATTGAAATCGCGAAATGGCTTTAAACCAGTGATGGGCAAACTTGATTAGTAAATAAACTGCAGAACGTTTTGTTTTCTAATACACGCACGCATTGCATGTATTTTGACAGCGCTGCACAAACTCGCCGCGCTATCTGCTTGTTAACCAGGGTTCAAAGTCCAAAGCGTGAGGAAAATCTGCGCTGAACCAGTGTTACTCGTCAGTTGCTCAGTCACATTTATGAATTTTTACAAGGCATGTGACAATGCGATAGGCCTACCTACGACACATTCGTAATGAGACTCATTTATAAATCTGCTGTTGTCAACAACCAAAAAATATTATTTTACTAACTTATTAATTTTAAGTTAAATTGTGCTTTGTTGGTATAGTGTCTGCTAGAATGTTAAAATGTTCATTGTTAAATATTTTTAAATTGTTGTTTTGTAATTGATTTTGTCATTGAAAAGCAAGACAAAACATATTTTGGCTATTTAATTTATGCAGTGGTAAAAAAAAAAGGCTAAATACATGGGGAAAAAAACTCGAAAAACCATGTTCGGTATTCGGCCTTCGGCCCAGTGTTTCATTTTGTTCGGCTTCGGCCAAGAATTTTCATTTCGGTGCATCCCTAGATACATTAAGTATTTTTCAGTCTCCAGGCACGTGTGGTCAGGTACGTTTATCTCATTTTTCTCGGTAAACATTTGGCTAACCGAATGAATAAAAATCTTGATTAAAACTGGACAGTTTTTCTGTGGATAATCAAGGAATCTACCACACAGCATCAGTTGGTGGTTCTGTATTTAATTTTTCTCATGCTGTAACCTGGTAACATAATATTGAATGATTCAATTCAGAAACCAGTAACAGGCCTCCATAAAATCCTGTTGCTGTGGTGCAGATGTGCATAGAGACGACTCTTTTGCAGTATTTTCATTTAAATCAATAGAGTCTGTGAACATTGAGAACTCTTAACAAGACAACAGCACTTATTGTACCCAAACACACCTGCAATATTAACAGCTAATAACTGACCAGATGAAAGTATGTCTTTGATGTTCATGTCATGGATGTTATCAGTACTTTATTGCATTTATATAATGAAGTATCGAGGCTTTATTATGTTTGTTATTGGGTTGCTAGGCTGCATTTGCTGTTGTATTACTTCCTTCTGTGTGACATATTCAACGCGTTTATTAGAGATAGAAGCAAGTTAAGAAGCACTCAAAAGTCTGAGAGCGGTAAAAACAAGATTAGTTATTTAAACGTTTGACACACACTAACCGTTTGGGGACAGTAAAGCATAATATGACCCCTTTAATGTTAAAAAAAGGCTCTTATGCTCACCAAGATTGCATTTATTTGAACAAACATACAGTAAATATTGTAAAATTTTCTTACAAACTAAAATATCTGTTTTCCATTTTGATATATTTTAAAATGTCATTTATTCCTGTGATGCAAAGCTAATTTTTCAGAAGCCATTACTCCAGTCTTCAGTGTCACATGATCCTTCAGAAATAATTTAATATCGGCTGATTTGGTGCTCAAGAAACATTTATTATTATTATTATTATTATTATTATTATTATTATTATTATTATTATTATTATTATTATTATTATTATTATTATTATTATTATTATTATTATTATTATTATTATTATTATTATTATTATTATTATTATTATTAGTGCTCAAGAAACATTTATTATTATTATTATTATTATTATTATTATTATTATTATCATCAGTGTTTAAAACTTAAAGCTTTTGCTGCTTAATATTTTTGTGGAAACTATGATACATTTGTTTTCAGGATTCTATGATGAACAGAACATTCAAAAGAACAGCATACAGTATATCTGAAATAGGAATCTTTTGTTACATTATAAGTACATGATCAGTTTTGAAATGTATTTTCATCTTTGTTGTGGGCTCAACTACAATTCTATATTTTACCTGAATAAATAAAAAAATTAAACCTAACGAAAATAATTTTAAGTGAGCATTAGATGACAGCAAAGATAATCTTAATGTAAAAATAAAGAAAATTATTGTGCACATTTAAATATCCCATATCGACCATGCTGATCATTTAAAAAAACAGCAACTCTAATATACTCTCGATAATCGATTTGGTATTGATATTTTGCAAAAAAATAAAATAAATAAAAATTACAGGCTTTATATATGTATATTCTCACTGTCTATGTTTTTCTTGGTCTTTTTGTTTTCAGCTAAAAACATTTATTTTGGCACATGCATGGGCAACTTTAGTACAATCTTCTCCGAATCATCCTTGACAACTGATTGTTTGTTTCACAGTAGGAATTTACATGTAAACTCATGCTGTTGGCTCAGGCAACTCAATCTTCTTTCCATCTGGTGAGCTGCTCTCCCTTATGTATAGCATAGGGTCTTAAATATAGCTCTAGATTCTTATTGATGAACGCTGAACATCCCGGCTGACCTGTTGCTCACAGCTGACACTCTGAGGGCCGTACGGGGGACCAACATCCTGCTGCAGGCCATAGCATACAGGCCCAGGATGTGATTAATGGGATTGCTGTCATCACATTTTGGTAACATTCTAGCCATACCACTGCAGATTCTTCAATGACTGTATTTGGCTGTACACTAACTAGTCAGGCCTGTCCAACACTGTAGATTGTAAATGAAAAAGAGAGTTGTTGTCAAATTTCTTTCTTCTATCCAAAGTATCCATGGTGCCCTGCTGGTGCAATCAAAACGCAAAACAATGAGAATTTTGTTATTATTAGGCCATACGGAGTTTGGGTAGATGATTAAAGATGATTAAAAATTAATATTCTGCTCACAGTGGAAACATACAGTAGGTGCACGCTGATTTACGAGGGCCTTGGCCCCCGTAGAGTCTTGTCTTCTATTATTCAGGATGTGTGGACCAGGATGACCTTGCGTTCTCAAGGATAACCGTCTCCAGAAGTGTCTTGTCTGCTTTCTCTCTGGTGCCAGTCTGTGGTGCCATGAGCAGAACCTAATTAATGCACTCTGGAGATTAACCTCAGCAGTAAAGTTGAAAGCCAAGTTTAGCTCAAATCCTTTAACTTATAGTCTGTTAGGATTTAATAGTCTTCGCTCATGAATGTCCAAAACTGCAGTGACAGAGGAATGTTTTCATTTAGCATTTAGTTGTCAGCTCTTCTCCAGCACTTTCCCAGGGAGTAAGTGATATGGCTGGAGATAAATGTCATTGTTTAATGAGCAATTATTTTTATGTTAAAGTGTCCGAAAACCAATATGCAGAACCTGCTTTTTTCTGCTTTTTGACAGAGTAATAATAATTTGTCATTCATGCAGCAATAAAGTATAACTTATTTTAATATAACACCATTATGAATATAGTAGTAGTAGTAGTAATAATAATAATAGTTATTATTGTTATTGATTGGAAAATTAATTATAATTTTTTTATATTTTTACTTTTTTGACAGTAATAGTCATTCATCATCCATACAAATATAACATTTGTATTAAGTATAACCATTTTAATATAACATAGCATTATGAAAATAAGTTATTATTATAATTAATGATTTTAAAATGTAATTATTAATTTTTTTAGATTTAAAATTTTTCACAGTAATACTCATTTGTCATTCATGCAACAGTAAAATATAAAATGTCTAATATAAGATTATTAAAAAAAATGAATTTATTAATATTATAAATTATTTAATTTTACTTTTTATATTATCTTCATTCAATGATTTTTATTATTTATGCCATTAGTTTGCATTGTTGTCAGATTTTTATTTCCTCCTCTTGACATAGTAACTTTTTACTATAATCTCTTTGTCTTGTAAGTGTAAGAGAGTTATGTTATAACCTCATTAAAGTTGCTACTCTTAAATTTGACAAATGCATGACAACACAATTTTTTGAAAATGCATATTTTAAGTCGACATTAGAAGTGAACTTTTGGGAGAAAAATCTAGTATATATTTACTTTACATATTTAGTCACTTTAAGCCATAGATGTAATGTTTTATGGATTATGGTTTGAGGTGTCTGGGGTGTTCAGGAGGGTGTTGTTCCTCTTCATTCTTCTATTTGTCCTGACTTCATGTCCCATGCAGCTCCTGATGTACTCAGTTTAACGTGCATTTTTTGTGTATTGTAGGAAGCGGAGCTACGGCTGTGGTCCAGGCTGCCTACTGTGTGCCCAGGAAGGAGAAGGTCGCCATTAAACGCATCAATCTGGAAAAATGCCAGACCAGCATGGACGAGCTCCTGGTATTGAACCTGCTTCCACATATTTAAACAGCACATTTGGTTCATTGCATTGCACATACTAGATATTAGCACAAGTATGGAAGTCAAATGGGTTGTGAATTCCATTTCATGAATAGTGTTCTGGTATTGGTATGGAGACAAACAGCACTCTTCATATGGAAATTTTATATGTTCTGCTTAAATATATATGAAACCTGTTTGACATGATCCCAGCAGTGCAACATTTAAAGGCTGCATATGAGCATTGAGCAATACCACTCTATAAGTCATGGCTCATAAATGCCAACACCTTTTATGAGCTGACGGTGAATAATGACTGTACAAGACTAATTGTAATGCATGGACACAAACTTACTGACATTTGTTGTGTGTTTTTGACAATAACTTAGACTATTACTTTTTTTACGCAGGTAAATATAGTATAAAAGATATTTATGTAAGTATGTGTATATATATATATATATATATATATATATATATATACACTTACTGTTGTCATCTCTCTGCATTAAATAAA